GAGAACAGAAGAGATTTTTTTTTTTTTTCCCCCTGAATAGAAACCAACCATGAACTAACAGGATTGTGTTTAGAGCAGAGATGTTTGCACAGTCATGGAAAAACATGTGTTTTTTATCAGGGTTAAGGCTTCCCTCCTACTAATGTTTCTTAATTAGTTCTTTTACTCCCCGCCTGTGGAGAGTGAGAGTCTGGAAAACACACTTCTTCCTGGGCAGAACTTTGATCATTGCTTTCCCCTGCTTCTCCCCTCACCTTGCATGATGGATTACATACCAGTAGTCACTGCTGCCTGGATCCTTTCAGAAACAAAAGAACAAAAGCAGCCTTCCAGTACCTAAAGGGGCTACAGGAAAGCTGGAGAGGGACTGTTTACAAGGGCATGTAGTGATGGGACAAGGAGTAATGATTTTAAACTGGAGGAGGGTCGATTTAGGTTAGATATCGGGAAGAAATTCTTCCCTGTGAGTGTGGTGAGGCACTGGCACAGGTTGCCCAGAGAAGTTGTGGCTGCCTCATCCCTGGAAGTGTTCAAGGCCAGGTTGGGTGGGGCTTTGGGCAACGTGGTCTAGTGGAGGGTATCCCTGCCCGTGGCAGGGCGGTCGGAACTAGATGATCGTTAAGGTCCCTTCCAACCCAAACCATTCTGTGATTCCATGAACTCCATAAGTCTTCTGTGACCATCTTCAAGGAGAAGCTGACCCCTGTCATTTAGTTAGTATTGACTGATTTGTTTTCCCTGAAGAGAAATGAATAACATCGGTGTTGAAGAACACAATTTGATAAGAAGGTCTTGAGATCCATTGTATAGATGAGTTTTCACTGAGGTAGAGTAATGATATAAGGTTACAATGTCTAACTTGTGTAGGCTATAGTTGACCAAATCAAATACAGTTGTGGACAAAATTTTAGACTATGTCCTATATTAGCGTCTGCCTACCATATGTTTGCAAAAAAGTAGTATGCCTATCAGGTATTTGCATATGAATCTATGATCAGCTAGGTTCCATGTAACATGTAAAAGTGCAAATTACTCATCCTATTTCTTGCCTACCTCTCTGTCCACCAGTTGAGCTCTGCCTGCTTTTATCATGTCCTCTTGTGAGCTTTGTCTAAGTGTGCTTCATAAAATAAACTGTGCTTCATGCTGAAAGTGGTTGTTTGCTCTCTCTGAGAACGATGGGCACAAGCTGGGTAGCAGGAAGGAAAGGATTATTCTCTTTGTAGTCTGCTTTCTTAGTGATGGCGTTAAAGCATCATGAAAACTATACAGCAAGGTACGGATTTATGAAGGGAAATGAAAGAGAGGAGGATGCTTCTGCATTACCTTACATGATCATATAGTAGTGCTGTTCGTCCTCCTCCATGAGGTCAGGACTGCATTTACCCTGGTACAGCTGTCTGTGTACTTCAGTGTTTCTTAACTACTGCCTGTTCACTGGGTACGTTTCCACTGGGTAGAGTAAGAATTCCTCAGCATACCTGTCTGTGATGGATCTCTAAAATGCAAAACTTCCTTCCCTCTTCTGTCTTTCCTATTTGAGTTTTTAGTTCAGGACCAAAGATGAGGGATTAATTACTAGCTGGTTACAGTGGTGAAGATGAACAACTAAATATAGCTGGAACTGGTGTTTATTTGAGCTTGAAAACTCAAAGGTAATGGGAAAAGGCTCCTCGCACGAAAGCCCTGTGTGCACTCTTTTCAGTTCACTGCTCGCCTTGTGCATTTATGGTCTGCGTTGTGACTGATCTCCTAAAGCTTTCAGACCTCTTACACGCCTTCACTTGTTTATTATAGGAACAGGAGTTTATAGTAATGCTGTTTATACTAAAGATGGGTGAACCATTACAGCAATAAGAGAAACCATCGTGAACCTTTGCCCTAAACTCAAACCAAACTCTTTTGTGATTTTTAAAGTTCTGTTTCAGTTTTCTGTGTCACTGTGCTTTGTTCTGTCAGGACTGGAAATCAGTGCCAAAATATAAATGGTATTTCCAGTGTCAACCTCAAACTTCACAAGCAAATCTGCTCTCATGCCAGGGTGTGTGGAGTTTCTTAGACCTCACAAGTTTCAGTAGTGAGTATAACCTTTCCAACTCCTGCTGCTTAGTGCAGCTAGCTCAAGCGCTTATCTAGTGAGGCTTGCCCGTCACTATTTCATGCGGGACAAGATAGTGTTATGCCTATGGGATGAGGTACTGTTTATTGGACAGGGGAATATATGTAGATGATTGCTTGCAGATGAAATACTGAAGCAGAAAGTGCCGTGTAGCTGCATTTCCCTGCTATTCAAGCACGGGTGTAGTGACTTGTCCAGCTTTGGCCTCCTTCCTGCTAAACGTGTTGCAAGCCCGTCAGCCGACTCTTCCGTGCAATTATAGTGGGGCTGTCCAGTGCAGAACAAGAAAGTAAACTCTCTTTTTAGGCTCTATCCGTTTTGTTTTGAGAACAAAATGTGACTAATGTGTTTCTGGAACCCAAGTTCCTCCAAATTTATTTGCTGTCCTGTAGGCTTTTCTGTTTCATATTCCAGACTTGGATTCAGTGTTGAGCTATCCATCTAGTAGAGTCTGATAGATTAGTAGGGCCAATCTTGGGAGTAATCAATTCAGGTTGTGCGTGTTTTCCTCCTTTCTGCTCCTGAAGAGGAACAGCCTTCCTTCTTCCCTCCCTCCCTCTCTCTCTGTTTATTGTTGTATCAGAGAATGATCTGATGTTTGTTTTAACACTGAGATGAAGCTGAATTCACTGCTGTCCAGCACTCTTTAAAGTTGGTATGCTACTTGAATATTTATATCATGCTGACATTTGCTTACTTTAGAGAAGGCTTTATTTCCTTGGAATATTTATCATAGTATCCAGGAATTTCCACGTTGAACCACTGCTGGATCTGAATGTTGTATATAATTACCTGGGTTCAAGCCCAGTTGCCTAAGAGAAGTTAACTTTCAAAGAACAGCAACTAGCTCTGTGGCATGGCATTAGCTAGCTGAGGGAAGAGCTGGTGAGGATTTTTCCTGGACTGATGTGGAGCAGCCTGGAAAGAAGACTCACACCTCACTTCAGCTGTATAGGTAGCTTTGTCTAGCTCATTATGGTAAAAATAGAGTCCTTTTCCCACATACCTGGCATCATGGATGGGGTACCTATATCTGATGTGATCTGTTGACCTAGTTATGGTCTGGAATGGAAAATAAGATTTGACATCTTTTGCATCCTGTTTTTTCCCCCTGATTTCCACCAGTCCCTTTCCCAAAGGTTAAGGGGGGAGGGTTGGTGCAGAATCCAGTTCCTGCCTTCCTGACACACTTTGATGCGCTGACCCCCTTTGTGCATAGAATAGAAATGACCAGCTTGAGCCTTGATCAGATCTCGGCCTCCTGTTGTTTCCCATCAGCTTATATGACTCTCTTGGGCTTCTGGGGCTAGAACTGCTCTTTTGCTGCTGTGCATAAAGAGGCGCCATGATTTATGAATCAATTAATCACTGCATGCTGAGGAGCTGTTCACGGTAGTTAAACAGTGAAAATAAAATGCTTGAGTATATAATAAAGACGGATCATAATGAATACGACCCTCTACTAATGAATTATCTCCCTCCCTATATTATATCCCGTACCCATTCTTTCTCAGCACAGCCAAACTCTCAAGACACGAAATTTGTCTATCTTGGATGGCATGGGGTTCATCAAATCGCTTGATAAGGGTGGTGTCTATTTGTGTGATTCCCCCTCCCCCCCTTCCAGTCTGATTTCAGTTTGCTGCTAAAGCCATAAAGAGGAAAAAAAAAATCTGATTGTAAATCTTTTTGAGTAGTCATAAGAAAATCCACCAATAAGTCTCCAAAACTTAAGCAGGGGAAGGTGAAGTCTGCCCTGCCTGGTCTGTAAGACCACAAAAATGTGGTGTGAAATTTCCAGAAATATTTCCATCACATAACTGTCATTGCTCTGCGTCACGCGCATCATTGCTGTGCATTTCTAAAACTGCACGATACTGTAAGAACTAGGCGGGTTTGGTGATAAGCCCCTGCTAAGACTGTTGTTTGACTTCACAACTTACTGAAGCACTTTGCAATTTAGGTCAGCATTCTATGACTGCAGTCAGATCAGGGTGGCATATTGCTCTGTGGAGAGCACCACTGACAGTCAAAGATCTACCCATGAGGTAAGGATATGAGGCAAGAGGTTTTACACCTGATCATGTGGTTTTGCACCAAAACTATGCTTTCCAAGAAAAAAATTATTCTTTACAAGTTATTGACCCTATACATGTTCTATTTTTTAAACAAAATTATTGTTTTATTTTACATTATCAGCAGATAACGAAAAGAGTGATAGAACATTTCATTAACACAGAAGGTTTCGTTTCTGGCTGAAAAGTGTATTCTTGGTAAATGAAATGCTAAAAAGCTCTTGAAAACTTTATGAAATATCCATATGTTTTGAATTCTGAAAAGAATTTTGGGAGGGTAGTGGTACCTCTGTTTTTTTCACTTTTTCTTTACAGGCAGGCTTTGAAATTTTACATTTTTGTTGCAGAGTATTTCCTGTATTTTCTGAGTAGCAAAAGCTGGCAGTGATGAGTAGATGGACTTGTGAACCTTGCTACAAGCCCACTGGTTTTAGTGGAGTTGCTCTTGATCTCACCTGTGTAACTAAGAGGAGATTTCATTCAAGCCAGAAATTAGGTGCAGTGATGTGAAGCAGGCTAATTCATTCTCTCTGCCATGCATTGAAGCTTGCGGTGGAATTATAATATTTGCCACTTATCAGTAAAAGTAAAATAATTTTTTCTTTCTAACACAATCTAGTTTCTCATTTTTGTTCAGCTCTGCTGCTGGCATATGTTGACTGTATCTAATGGCCTTTGTTTGCATTCTAAGCTTATCTCACAAATTGGCTTTTGAAATGCACAATCAGCAGTAATAATGTTTCACTGTGGTGACCATGGTTAAACATTTCTCTCCTGTCCCCCCCCTTCTCTGTTTGATTTTTTAGGACCCAGGCTTCTCTTCGGTGATTCATGACAAACTCCAGGTTCCCAATACCATTCGTAAGGCATGGAACGAGAAGGACAACAGATGTGACGTTTGTGCCACACACCTGAACCAGTTGAAGCAAGAGGCCATTCAGATGGTGCTGACCTTAGAGCAAGCTGCCAACTCAGAACATTATGATGCCTCACCAGGCTCTCCCCCACCTCTCTCCAATATCCCCACGTTAGTGAGTCCCCGGCACATGGGCAGTCTGCAGCCCAGGGACTGGGCATACGTGCCTGCTCCGTATGCTACATCTAATTATACAGGCTTTGTTGCCAACAAACACAGTGGAAAACCCAACAGTCTAGGAATTGCCAATGGGGTGGAGAAGAAAAATGGCTCTCCTGGACACCAAGCCAAGGTCAGCTTTCAAATGGCCACCAGCCCCAGCAACGGTAACGTTCTCAACTCTGTGGCTATCCAGGCTCATCAGTACCTTGACGGCACCTGGTCTTTGTCAAGAACAAATGGCATCACTTTATATCCCTACCAAGTACGTATTTTAAAATAACAAAATGTGTTCATTTTCTTCCCATTGAAGCTTGCATGGGCATGTTAACAGTGCTTGCTCCTGTTGGGTGGAAGTAGAGCCATTCATAACAGGGAGCACCACAACAAGGAGTGCTATAAATTCCTATTTCCCTGATAGGGAACTGAGTTGGGGGATGCACAGATCACAACCAGTATTAATTAGAACACCTTTTATTAATTCAGCTGTTACTAATAATAGAACCAAGCTTTTGTTTTTAGTAGCAGATAATTATTCCCTCAGTTCTCACTCATGCTCATAATACTTGGTTGGAGCAACAGCTGGAAGCCAACCACACTTGTTTACTCACAGGTGGAAAGCAGCACTAGTGACTTCTGGATTGGTATTCAGGAAGTACCCAGAAGGTTTTTTGGTTCATCATGCATGCATATGATCCTATGGTGTTTGTCTCCAGATAGCAGGCACTACCTTCGTTGATGTATTCTGAGTTACATACATTCTTATTGATGCTTGTGTGTGCTTGTGGCCTTCTGCAGATTCAACTGATTCTTGGTGCTTTGATATTTATCAGCTTCTCATGGATTCAACGGGTCCACTAGTCTCTAGAGCTTAGCGGTTCTAGGGAGATTTTCATGCACTTCTCAGCACGTTCTTTTCCTCCTCTTTGGCCTGGTGCTTTCTGGTACGCAGCACCCATAGGTACCTGTAGAACCCATCCACACTATCTGGCACAGTAGGGGCTTTTATGACCGCAGGTAGGCTTTCCAACCAACTTAGCTGCAGGTGGTGGGATTTTCAGAGTGCACAAGCACTTGCAGATTGCGAAGCTAGCCTATTCTTTCTGAGTTCTCTCAGCCATCCCTGCTGACTTCCTTAGGCATACAAATATCTTTGGAAATTGGTCTTTCTACTAAGTTATGAACAGATTGCAAGATAGATCCCTAAATTAATATTTAACATTTATCAGTATGTGTAACTGATATTACAGCCAGAAAAAAGTGATGTTATTCATAAGCATTAACATATTGTCATGCAGAAAAGATGACTTGGTAAAACCAGAAGTGAACTACAGTTATTTTATCTGGAAAATATGTGACTTTATAGTTTTGTGGATTTATGCTCTGGTGAACCTGAATGACATTTGGGCAGGTCAGTATGTGATCATAGTTTCATCTAAGAAAAAAAAAACTAAACAAAGAACACACATTAGGAAAACTGAATAATTACTATTTGTATTAGGAAAATCAGTTCAGTTTTATTGCATTCACAATCTTTTAGGTTCATCTTCTATGAAAATGTGGGTTTTGTTTACTTTTTAATAATGTTCATCTTGTCTTAAAAATATTCAGTAAGGAGAATCTAATATTCAGAACTTTCCAGACTGATCCTTAGTTTGGCTCCAGTTAGATTAAGGACTGTTCCCTATTAATTCTCTCTCCTTTCAATATCCTTGAAATAGAAAAGACACATCCCCCAAAAAACCTCAATGAAACCAACCAGATAAACAAAAACCAGATGATAAATCCCAGACAAACAAAAAACCCCAAACAAACCTAGTAATGTTGGTCTGTGATGGCCTGTGTTTACAGTAAGTTTTATATTCTCTTTAAGATTCCACCTTCAAGTGTTAAAATTCTCACTTTACTCAAGTGTCGCATTTAACTGTCCAGTCAAGGAATAATAATGATGGCTTTTGTCTTTAAACATGTTGAAAGGATTTTAGTGTTTGGTTATGTAGTATCTGTATCTGACTGGGAATTAGTCAAGTAAGAAGAAAAACTTTGAAAAGTAATTTATTTGTAATTTGAAGTAGTAAGAAGATGCAAGCTTTGCTTTTTCTGCTTTTATGTACAGAAACTAATCTTATTTGCTACACATTTTCTGAACATTTTAGATCGCTCTCCCATATAAATATATTTTTTGTTATACACTTACAGTTGGGGAAGAGCACTACGAAGATGAATCCGTTATCTCATCTTAATTAGAACCCTTCTTGATTTGAAAGTGAATTAAAAACAGAGGCACTAGCTACTTACTTGCAAATGTCTACATATTAATTAAATTTTCTTGCCTTCCCTTAAGAACAGTGATTAGAAAAACCTCACTGTGTATTAGCTAAGAGGAATAGAAAATAATTTCGTGGGATAAAAAGCCTTGCACTTCACACAGAGAGGTACAGTACCCTTCTACATCATAATCTTGTTAAATTGATGTCCAGGGAGAAGTCAGTCTCATGGCTCTAGACTTAATGGCGTCTGTTGTAGACACCTCCCATTGTAAATTAGCTGTTGTTAGACAGTCTAGATAACTTGACAGAAATGGTTGAGTACCTTGAAAACTGACCGTGTTTTCTTCCTCGAAGTATCACTAAAAAGAGAAAACATTAGTTTGGAAGTGACAGTCTGTGGCTCAGAATTGACTCGTGGCAATTTCAGGCACCAAAAAATATCCCTACTATTGCAAGTCCTAGGATGTTGCTCCCTTCCTAGGATCTTCTTCTCCAGACTGCCTAAAATTAGAACCTTGTTGTGGGGAGTGAATTACAACTTTGTTTTCAGTTCTGGTAGAAAAACAAAACAAAATAATAAAGTGAATGTTGTGATATTGTAGGGCTTAGCTGCTACAGTAGTGTAGGGCAAGTCTTAAATGACATGCCACTATTCAACTATTTTTGCAGAAAAAGTAATTGCTATCTGAAGTAAAACAAATATGAATTTATACACTACCTGATTTAGTAATGTATTACATGTTTAAAGTCTGAAGAATAGTAGTAATACTGTCTTTAACTGGAGACACATGTCAGAAGTAAAAGAAACTTTCTAATAATTTTATGGAGGCATTTGGGGGCTCATCAACGGAGTTGCCTAAGAATAAGTCAGAGAAATAGCTGCTAAGAATTGTTTAGGCAAAACTGGTCCCATCTGGAGATTAGGAGATGGTGTAGATGATGCAATCAGTCCCCACTGGCCCTGTTTTATGTGATTCCATAGTTAGCGACCCCTTGACTAGACAGAAACAAAGATCTGGTTCTAAAAACCTGTGATGTCCTCCAGGCCTGGCTCACAAATGAACAGCTGATGTTGTTTTCTGTAAGGGGCAAAATCAAATTTTGCTGGTAAGTGGTCCTGCTACAAAACAGGGAATCAGAGGTGGGGAAAGGGATTTGATTGATCTTAAACAAAAAAGCATGGCCCATTAAAACCCTCCTTATAAACACTGAATGCTGAAATGGTTACCTGGTCAGGGTAAAAGTGATGCCTTTCTGTTGAATACATGTAGGAAAATACCAGTGAAAATTCAGTAGAATTTGATCCAGAGTCTGAAAATCGTGCTCTTTCAGTCATTAGCAGGTAGCATTTGTATACCCTGGGGATCAGACTGTTTTAACACTTGTAAAAGCTTCTGTTGATCTCCCTATCACTCAGAGGGATTTCAAGCCTTTCCTGCTCGGAGAAAACTCCTTTAAATTGGTGAGGTTTTACCTGAGAAGGGCTGTAATTATTTGTGCAGCTGCTAATGTGAATTACAGGATACCACAGTGTTAAGTACATTTCTGTTGCTTACTGGTTATTACATAGCACTTCTAAAAGGAAACCTTTGGGCATGGGATACTAATGGAGGAGCCAAAAGTCCAAATACCTTGACGAAATGATTACTTTGCGTAATTTTCATAGAGAATGTGGTACAAAATTGAATGCTTTCAAAGGGAAAGGAGTTCAAAATAGTGACTAGATTAAACTAGTTGGACTAAAACACTTTTTTCTGGAGTAAAAGTGCTCCATTATTTCAACGTAGCGGTTTCTTTTTAGAATGGGCACCCTCTTTTAGCTTAAATTAATTGCATGGTTCCTCACAGGTTGGTGTGCATCTAAAGCAAAAACCTGGTATATTAACTGTTTTGTGGTGTGAGCTGCAGAACTTAAAATGTTGAACGTTTCCTTGGTCCTCTTGTTGCTTTCCTGGATCTGCATAAGAATCTTTTCGTATCTTTAGATTATTTAAAAAAAAAAAAAAAAAAATTAGCAGAGCTTCTTTGGTAGATTTGAGTGACAGGAAGGTAAGAAAGAGCCAGAGAACTGGAAAAGGCCAGCTGTTCCAGGAACAACGTGGGCCATGAAAGGGAAGGATGGGTAGCAGAAAAGGTGGCTGTGGGTAGGGTGAGTACCTCCTGCTCCAGACCTTGAGGTTGTGAAGTTTGAATTTGCTAAGGAAAAAGATAGTGCATGTAAGGATTTGAGTAGGGGTATTGTGAACATAATGATATTAAAGGAAGAAGTGTTCCTTTCTCCTCTGCACTTAAAAAGACCCTTTTGACCAAAAGTTTGGAAAAGGAGATCTTAAACTACTGAGAGCCTCTTGGCCCTGGGCGTAATGATCTCAAGCCTATTCAGAGTTATCAAAGGCTTTGTTTGTGTATAATTGATGAAAGTCTACAGTATGTGCTTTCTGTTTCCTCTTTATGTATAATATGTGTTTAGAAGAACACTGTTCTCTGAGAAAGTACCAGCCTGTTCAGGAGTTTTGCAGTGATGAATGATTTGTTTGGAGTTTACTTAGGTCACGGCTGTCTCATAACACATCAGTTCTTTCAGGCACAGGCTTTTAAAAAGAAACTGGTAATGATTAGAGTTGGACACAAGACAGAGAGTTCAGATACAGAGCCAATGCCTGCGTGTGGGGTATTTTCATCCAGGATTTTGATTCCAAGCTTTTTTTCCAAGTCTCTGCTGTCTAATTTATTTCTCTTCCACTTGCTGCTGCTTCTGTTGCTTTAGGATAAAGCTAAAATGTTAATGATCGCTACAACAGTGCCAAGGTAATTTAAGTAGCTTCTAAAGTGTATAATGTAAGGTACAGAAATCAAGCTACTTGCTCCATCTGTAGACTAACAGGTGTCTTCTATAATTATTCCATGCTTCCTAGCACCAGGTCTATTTTGCTAAAGCATCTTAGCAGCAATAAAAAGATTTGTATACTGTCTCTTTTAGTATCATGTTCTTATG